TGGTGAACGCAATGGTCAGCCATAAGTCAGTCAATTGTCTCATTCCAGTGCCACAGACGACGGGTTTGGCGAATAAGGGCCGTCAGCAGCAAAAGCAGCAGCAGATGCAGGAAATTCACAAACACATGATCGGTACGGTTCCCGATCGCGGCGGACGGCCTACTGAACAGATAGCGCCCCCCAAAGAGAGCTTTTCTCAGCAACAGTTCCAAAGAGACAATCCTAGAGGTCGTGGCAGAGGCGGCGGTGACTCGAGAGGTGGTGGCGGGGGTTATAATCGTGGCTCTGCTCCTAATGTTTCTCAAAATACAAGTCGAATCCAAGGCTCGGGTTGGACTCAAAACAGTGGTCAAAGGTATTCAACCAATCCATCCGCTCATAGCTATGATAACCAGAGAGACCAGAGGGGAGGGTATCAACAGAACTATAATTCCGGTAATTATCAAAACGGACGACAACAGCAACAACAGCCCCAACGATACCAACAAAGGGATGACTACAATACCTCTGGTCATCACAACCAAGTCGGGATACCTGTCGTAATGCCGAGATTAATGGTTTTGTTAGTTATGAGCCCAGTTGTTATGCTGTCTGTCAGGATGCTATTATTGTTAATAATAAGACTGTTTTGGATAATGCCTCTGGTCTCTAACCAACAGCAAAGTGGTGGTAATCGTGGCAGAGGTGGAGGTCGACGCTATTAAGCCAAATAATCTTCTACTCATTTGTCTGAATTTCATATAAATTAAAACTTTTGGGTATTTTTCTTATATTATTTTTTTGTGTAAACTTAGTTTATTTAATGAGTGGATTGAATTGAATTTATTTATTACCATAATTTCTGTGATATTATTTAATTAAGTAATAAAAGCTGATTAAATACATACAAACTTAATATAAAATAATCAATAATTTTGTTGAACTTTGAAAGTATAAACGATTTTGACTTTAAAATCAAATGATTTAATGACTAATTGATTATTATTAGTGTATGAAAAAGTGAACCGAATTTAAAATTCAGGTTCAATGGGGTTGGAGTGAGCCTTAGTGTAGTATATGGCACCTGTGCCTCGCATTCTTCGGTTGTCCCACCATCTCATGACAACATCGCGTTTAATGAACAAAGCAAATAGGAGTCCAATGAAGAAGATTGTGAACGACACGAACACTATGACGAAGAGTCTCATCATTCGGACCTCTCTATACATCTGGCTTTCGCAGTGTATGTTGTGGTGGTCTATCATAATCAGGTCCTGTCCTCTCAGTTGGGATGGATTGGCACAACTGAAACATTCAATACAATTNCAAAGCAAATAGGAGTCCAATGAAGAAGATTGTGAACGACACGAACACTATGACGAAGAGTCTCATCATTCGGACCTCTCTATACATCTGGCTTTCGCAGTGTATGTTGTGGTGGTCTATCATAATCAGGTCCTGTCCTCTCAGTTGGGATGGATTGGCACAACTGAAACATTCAATACAATTCATATACATTTATCAATACATTTTCAATAGCAATAGTAATTCTCATTATTATAGTTATAGGCTATAACTTATAGCAATACTATAGATAAGTGTAACGAATGTATAATGAGATGAGTAGTTCATCACTACTCACATGATTCCGTGCGTGAGCTCTGGTCTTAAGTGACAATATTTGGCCCAAAGTAGATGACAATCACATAGAGTCTCATCATTCGGACCTCTCTATACATCTGGCTTTCGCAGTGTATGTTGTGGTGGTCTATCATAATCAGGTCCTGTCCTCTCAGTTGGGATGGATTGGCACAACTGAAACATTCAATACAATTGATATACATTTATGAATACATTTTCAATAGGAATAGTAATTCTCATTAGCAATACTATAGATAAGTGTAACGAATGTATAATGAGATGAGTAGTTCATCACTACTCACATGATTCCGTGCGTGAGCTCTGGTCTTAAGTGACAATATTTGGCCCAAAGTAGATGACAATCACAAGTCCACGGATTCTCTCTTAAGTCAAGACTTGTCAGATTACCTGCAATTACATTATGTTTAGTCATATTCTCATTATTATAATGGACTCACAAAAAGGCAAAGTATTCTCTGGAAGGGATGACAGTCTATTAGCCCTGAAATTTGCTTCTTTTATGGCAATCCAACTCCTGTTAAATATGCCGTAAAAGGCATAGCTATCGATATAAGACAAGTGAGGATTATTACTAATGGAAATCTTCTGCAGATTATATAAATAGGAGAAAGTTTTCTCTTTGATTTCAATCAATTCCTTCATATCATCCAAATATAGTTCAGTCAATGTATTCATCTTCACGAATGAGTGCTCGTCCAGCACTCGGATTGGGTTTGCGCTCAGCTTTAACACCTGAAGACTTCTGGCACTTCTCAACGGAATGGTCGGCATTAACATGAAGTCGTTGTCCGACAGATCCAGATCTGTCAACTCAAAGAGCTGATGGAAAATGTCATCTTTGAGTGCGAACGACGAGATGGCCGACAAGTCTAATGTCTTGAGTTGTGAGGAATATCTGAAGAGATCTGAGTCGAGAATTCTGAGCGGATTGTGAGCTAAGCGTAATTCTTGCAGAAATTTACACTTCTTGAACAGATCCGGAGGAAGTAATTCGATGTTATTATGGCTGAGATTAAGTGTCAGCAACTGTTCGGTGAAGAGGTCTGCGGGTAAGCTAACCAACCCGTTGTGGCTTAAGTCCAGTCCTCGCAATTGAGTCAAGTGTTGGAAAGCATTGGGTTCTATGGCTTCGATGACATTTGAGGCCAAATCCAAGTACTCTAACTTATCGCTCGAGTCCATCACATCGATCCGCTTCAGTTCATTCATACTCATGTCCAGAGCGTAGATATTGTCCGGCCATTCAGCCGCTGATGGGATCGAAGTCAGGTTCCTTCGCGTGCAGTCCATCTCAGGCCGATTCTGGCCCAACCCATAGCACCGGCATTTGTCCGCACAGGGAGTCACGGGTTTGTCCGCTGCGATCAAAGCACTTAATGTAAGGATCGTAAGAAAGAAGCAAAAAATTTTCCACTCGAAGGACATCCTGGCGCTCATCCGATGTGTATTTATGATATCTATGGCTAATGTATTAATGAAATGAATGCAAAATTTAGTTTATCGTCAAAATGGATAGAAATGTATTTAAACAAAACTAAAAGGGACAACACCTTTCAATTTTATGGTTTCCGTTCAATTTCAGTCTTCAATGAAATATCGGTTGTTGTGAGCCTTTCGATAAGAGCTGTGTTTTAATCTAAAAATTTTTATGACTATATGTTTGTGAAAAGCTTTAAACACTTATAAGTGGAGCATATTTTTGTATTTGTGTTCCGATAAGACAATAGTTTCTGAGAAACAATGATAAAAAATCTCTAATAAATAAATCTTTGAGTCATTTCAATACAAAAAACAAAATAATAGGCAATTTTAGTTTTATTCACAAATTTATATAATATTTAGTTATGTTTATGTCGATTATTATATATCGCTGAGTATTAAATACTATGAATCGGAAAATGAAGATTTTATTACAATTCTTATTGAAATTAAAACGTTTTACTTATATTTTATAAATATTTTTTTTATCTCATTTGCTAATATAATTGCAAACAATATATCGAAATACTGTTAAGTACTGATATATTATTTTTTGCTGAGTTTGATGAGAATATATAAAAGTTATTGCAATTAATGTAATGTACTGTTGAGACAGGTATGAAAGGGTTGTCAGGGGAAGGACTCGGATCAAAGTACTGTCAAACAGTTTCTCAAAATAAAGAGAAAATATCTTCACAATTGATATCATAATAAGAAAATTCTTATAGATAAATAAAAAGCAAAATTTGTTTAGTATTTTATGGCTTATTCGTGAACTTATGTTAGGGAAGTGAGTTGAAGTTATGTCATGTGTTAGTGTTGTTTGAGAAGTATTAATACTGTAAAATACAAAAGTTATCAAAATCTCATGAATTCCCCCTTTCTATACGGTTGTAATACTAAACACATTTGATTTGACTGAAATTAAATACACGTCTTTCACAATATGTTTATATATTTATAATTTGAATTCTTTTTAATGACTAATTAATATTATTTTTACACATTTAGCTTATAATTTTAAAATATTAGAATATTTTTTACACAATATTTAAATGTACAGTAATATTTTTATTTAAGATAACATTATTTAATATAAAAGTATTTTATCTAATTAATAATTTCGAATTCTTATAAATTACCATTATATAGATAAAAATTAAATGATTATTCAAAGTAATTAATGCAGTATTTGTGCGGTATGTTAATTCTAATATTAAATCTAAACCTTACGATATACAGACTAAAAGCAAGTTATTTCAAGCTCTATGTTATGCAATACAGTATAAACACATAATAAATTATAGAGATATTTCAAAATAATAAAACTATTGCATTAATAAGTTGACGGAAACAATTGATTCATGAGTGCATTGAAATGAATTTATCACATAATTGAGATTTCTTAGAGATTATTCATTTTATACAAAGATTTATAATTGATTAAAAAATATTTAAACTATAATATAAAGCAATACCTGTACAGTACAGTAAATACCTTATAAATTGACATTAAATCGAAAGTTTTAGAAGAGTTATCAGAAAGTTATTGAAAATTGTCAGTCGTTTCCAACAAATCCCAGTATTCATTGAATTTGTTGAGATAACTGGAGACAAGTGTTGGGTCACCAGTGATGATGCAGTCCTCGTAATTATGATTGATCCCGGTTGCAGTCCAATTGAGTGAACCGGTAATTAATTGTCTATGATCTAGGATAGCAAACTTGTGGTGCATATAGCCCAGTCTCATTCGTGTAAAATATC